CGAGAGGTAAAGAAGACGAAAATCTCTGATTTAGCTTCTGTATGTTTCTTAGGAAGATGGATTTCTAACCATTGATTTGTTGATTAGGTTATGGTTTTTTTTTTTTCCTCAGGGAATACGGAGCTTGAGCAACCCAGAAGTCTATTTCGTGTTTGGGGGTTTCGAAGAGAGTAGCGAGATTCTGGGATTCCGTAAATTCCTGGTATATACTACATTCCCAGCTTCGATTTTTCTCCTGAAACCTGTTGATTTTGTTTTCCTGAGCTTACAGTGCTATGCCATAAAAAGTGACTATGAAGCTTGATACTTTGCCTATTAGCTGTTTGTTTTTTTCCCCAAGAGAGTATTAGTTACCACTGACTTTAATTTTAGTATAAAGCTACCATCTTTATCTCGTAGCAACATTTTTTCTGGCTTTGGTATTGCGTCGTATATACAAGGATCATCATGAGAACTTGATCTGGGATTCTTCTTTGTTCCAGGGTTAAGCCTAGATTGCTGTTTCGGTGGTGTTTTTCTTTGGGGATTTAAGGGAACATGGAAGATAATGTTTCATTTGCACCAACAGCTCCTGTTACTCAAATCACAGCAGCTCCAGTTCTACAAGATGCCTCATCTCAGCCAGGTAATTTACTAGCATTTGGTTAATGTTACATTTAAGATTATAGACGGTGCAGTTGAACTCCTTATATAGATCTCAACTATAACTGCAGGAGTCGCTGCTATACCACCTGTGGCTCCTCCTTCTTTTCCCCCACCAATGGCTCCAATACCGGTTGCCCGCCCACCTACTCTTAGGCCTCCTGTTTCACAAAATGGTGGAGCGAGAGCCAATGACTCGAATTCGGAATCAGATGATGAACATTATGAGATATCTGAAGACAGTAAACGGGTCAGAGAAAGACAGGAAAAGGCATTGCAAGAGTTGTTGATAAAGCGCCGTGCTGCTGCTCTCGCAGTTCCAACAAATGACAGAGCTGTTAGAGATCGCCTTAGACGACTTGGTGAGCCCATTACTCTATTTGGAGAACAGGAAATGGAGAGAAGAGCTAGGCTGGCGCAGCTTATGGCTAGGCTTGATATTGATGGGCAGTTGGATAAACTGCTTAAAGCTCACGAAGAAGATGCGGCTCCAAAAGAGGAAGTGGACGATGAAATACTTGAATACCCCTTTTTTACTGAGGGTCCAATGGAGCTTAGAGAGGCTAGAATAGAAATTGCCAAATTTTCTATCAAGAGAGCTGCTGTAAGGATTCAGCGTGCAAAGCGGCGGAGAGATGATCCAGATGAGGATATGGATGCAGAGACTAAGTGGGCTTTAAAGCATGCTAAAGGCATGGTTCTTGATTGCAGTAATTTTGGAGATGATCGTCCTCTCACTGGCTGCTCCTTCTCGCGAGATGGAAAAATACTTGCCACATGGTATATCTCTCTTCTATCTCTTTCTTACTTTCAAGCACAAACTTAAATATTCTGCACATCCTGATTCTTAGTCTATTTGATTAGATTTGCCTGGAGTATGCTGCATTCTACCTGCTTGTTGGTTTTCATTGATTTGTAAGTAGAGAATTATGCCAATAATCCTTTCCTTAGACACTGAATCTGCTGTTGCGGTCTCAATTCCTTCCACCTTTATTAGACCATGAAGTTAGTTAGGCCTTTTATCTTATACATAGCATTCTTCATGTCTAAGTGCATTTGCCCCAGCCAACTGCATTACACATTCTCTAGGTTCATGACTTGCAAATTCTCGTCTGTTTAGTGATTCATTGTTTTTCTTTGGCTAGTTCTTTGAGTGGAGTTACTAAATTGTGGGAGATGCCTGAAGTTACAAACAAGATTGCTGTCTTGAAGGATCACAAAGAACGTGCAACTGATGTAGTGTTCTCGCCTGTGGATGATTGTCTAGCAACTGCTTCTGCTGATCGAACTGCAAAGCTTTGGAAAACTGATGGAACACTCCTACAAACTTTTGAAGGTCATTTGGATCGTCTTGCACGTGTTGCCTTCCACCCATCAGGGAAATACCTCGGGACAACAAGCTTTGACAAAACATGGAGATTGTGGGATATAAACACAGGAGCAGAGCTGCTTTTGCAAGAAGGTCACAGTCGCAGTGTCTACGGAATTGCATTTCAACAAGATGGAGCATTAGCAGCTTCTTCTGGGCTTGATTCACTCGCACGGGTTTGGGATCTCCGCACTGGTAGGAGTATTCTTGTCTTCCAAGGACACATCAAACCGGTAAGACTCAAAATTTGTTTCTTTGGTTTTCTTCCTCAGGCAAAAGTGATTCACTGACCCTTATTTTAATCTCCTCCGTTCTATATGCTTCTCCAGGTTCTCACAGTGAACTTCTCTCCTAATGGTTATCACTTGGCATCTGGTGGTGAGGATAATCAATGCCGTATTTGGGATCTTAGAATGAGAAAGTCGTTGTATATTATACCAGCTCATGCTAACCTTGTGTCTCAAGTGAAGTATGAACCACAAGAAGGCTACTTCCTAGCCACTGCCTCATACGACATGAAAGTCAATGTAAATCCTTCTCTAATCCCTTGCCCTAATTTGTTTTTCAATCTTCTGTTTCATTTACTTAGTTTATTTCGACTAATTTAACATTTTTGTCTATGGCAGATATGGTCAGGCAGAGATTTCTCGCTTGTAAAAAGCTTAGCAGGGCATGAGTCAAAAGTCGCCTCTCTAGATATCACTGCAGATAGCTCGTGTATCGCAACTGTATCACATGATCGCACCATCAAGCTTTGGACAAGCAGTAGCAACGAAGAAGACGAAGGGGGAGAAACAATGGATATAGATCACTAGTTTCTTTTTTCATGTTTGTGCGAGAGAAACACGAAAAAACTACTTGGTATCGAGGGATTTAGAGATTAGCTTGTTAGAGAGAATCTTTAAGATGGTATTGATTGTAATCATGCCAGAGATTGTACAAACTCGGGATGATGATACATTGTCTTTGAAAATTTTGCCATTAAGTTCAACAAAAGCAAATGACTTTCCTTTGTCTCCCCTGAGATACTACTTTTAACACAATGGTAACAAAAAAAGTTACGTTGCTATATTAGATTGTACAAAGAACTAAAGTAATACTCTGTATTTGTGACTCGTCTATAGAACAGAGAGAGGAGGTATCTAAAGATTCTTCAGGTTGCAGATTTATTTGTACCAACCAGCAAGAAAGTGCCGAAGTATGAAACAAAACGCGCACGCTAGAGCCTGTAGTAGAAACAAATCCGAGTATCACAAAACCGATAGCAATTATTTTCATTATATAAATATGGTGATGAACATCTATTTGAGAACTACCTGGAAAACGAGAAGATGGATACAAAGAGACTTTTCTGATTTAGGACCAAATAACCTCAAGTAAACGTTGACGAGTGTCCCATCTTTTGTTCCGGTCAGTAATTCGGTAGTAGTATCAAACCTGGATAATCCAGAACACAAGATGAGCGATGTGTCTGTTCTTTAATCACTCTACAAAAGGTAAGAACACGAAGGTGGTTACCTAGGGAGACGATGGCGCGGACATTTCACAATGCCAGCAAGCTGAAGAGTTATATAGAGTATGTTAGATGGTTGATACATGAGTTCACAATATTATAAGTATGCCAGAGAAGAGCGTAATTAGATATAAACCTGAGGAAGCGACAGTAGAAAGTTCAGAACTTGAGGAAGAAAGAAGATGAGGAGGGTTTCACTGCATAACCAAAATTTCAGAAGAGAAAAACGGCATGCATGATGAATCTGAGCATTAAGTTTAGAAAACTTAAAGGAAAACATTTACGACGAAATGTTTATAAGAAGGCTATGGAGTTGATAGTTTCCATGTAGCAGTGAAGTGCCAAATATTATTTTAGTAGGTTTGGAAGTATACCTGAAGTGACCCAGAATCCCAACAACTGCCATAGTCATTCCGGCAAAGACTGTGTAAGTGTCTCCAACAAAAACTGAAGAAGGATACCTAACAACAGAAGATGGCAAGAACTGGTCAGACAAAGCATTACTTCAACTCAAAGAAAAAATTAAACTTTAAAAGAGAAACTTGTGAAGTATTTTACCAATTGTAAGCAAGCAATGCCAAGGATGTTGCCATCAGCGGTTGAGTAAGAAATATCGAAAAGGCATGAGCTTGGTGATACTCGGGATCAACAGATGCTCCGATTTGCATAACGTTGTGTATCAGGATCTACAAGTAACTGGTATGCATCATATCTCAACCCAAAAAGGAACAAACGGAGATGAATCCAGAGACAGAGTTTATGACCATAGGACTTACAGCAGCGGCAATAACAACTGTTTGACCGATTTCAAGACCATTCAGACCAGCGTGAATGTTAATAGAGTTCGTGCAAAAGACGGCAAGTAATCCCATATATAACTTATATATCCGTCCTGAGCCACATTGAAACATCTACTGAGCTCCTCAGTAAATAAAATTATGGGAGTAGACTTGTACATCGAGTGTAACATGTAAGAGAATCAGTACCTAGATCAAGCACTTCCAAGCCAATATAAGCAACTAAAGGTTTCGGTATGACAATAGTTGTATGTCCAGCGTAAGCCATCAACAGTGGAAGGGTAGCAAAAGATGGCAGGACAAGTTTCCTGTTGTTTAAATTTAAAAGAGAGAACATGTAAACTAATATCACTCATGAATTTCATCAAAACAAAATACATAGTTGCAATTCAAACTTACACTCTCCAAGGCACATCAAGTACATCATCTACAAATCCAAGCAAAATCATGAAGCAAATAGATGCTAATGCTGCATTATACTCCACAAGCCACTGCACAAGAACCATCAACCACATGGGTTATTACCAATGCCATGACTAACCCATTTAGCCAAAAGGAAAACAATGGTCCCTCACTTACATTCGAATCCTCAGTGAAATTGAAATACTGAAATATAATCGCAACGATCAAGAAGACAATACCAACAACAATTCCCAATGATTCAGGCCTGTAAAGAAAACAAGAAATGAAGCAATTTTTGATCATATTTTTAAAAGCTGATTGATCAAAAACTTACACTTTGATTTCTCCTTGACGCGTTCCCTTTTTGTTGATATCGAAACCAAACATGTTACGCCTCAGAACGTATCTAGCAGCAACAGGAATCATCTTGAGTGTGACGAAGAACCCTAACAAGCTAAGCCCAGCGTTAATGAGGATCGATCGCTTGACCTCCTTGTCAATCTCGTAGTGAAAAC